GTAGCTGAGGCCAGGCGTCCTCTGATCTCTTGACTGCTGCTTCAATGAGCATTTGATTTGAATTAGTCCCATCTTTAAGCCTACTCTGGTGCATACAGCATGTATCACATGTAAATATCAATGGGATCTACACACGTGTAGATTTAAGCAAGATGGAGATGTCTGAGCCATACAAATATGTGCAGATCTGAGGGCAGAAAGCAAAAAATCAGCTGCACCCACTTTAGCAGCAGAGGGATTTGTGATAAGGGGATGGAACAGCAAGCACCTCGAACCTCAGTGCAGGGAGTACAGGCCGTCCCACAAGTCTGAACCAGGACCTGGAAAACTGTCAGGAGGGAAAGCGGCTTCTTTTCCGTGTCATTTTTTAATTCTCTGGGGCCACATGATCTACCATCTGTTCCATTCTTTGGCTTTTCTCAGCAGACGGTCTCTCTCTGCACCAAGTTTCATGGGCCAGGGAGCACCGTGACCTCTAGTCTCTTGCCTTTTAGTTCAAATTCTTAAGTGAGAGGATCTGAATGGCCTAGGTCATGGGTCAGATATCCAACCCTGGTCCCCTCCACGGAGCCCAAAGAGGAGTCAACTCCTGTGATGCAATTGGACAGGAGCGGCCAGCTCTTCAGCTCGGGCCAGGGGTGGGCAGAATGACCACTCCAAAGAAAGGAACACATTTACAGATTCTTTTCCTCTAACTAAAATGAAAATATACTGACTGTACGTGTGCCTGCAATGAATACATTAATTAATACGTTCATATTGTGAAGATGTGCTTGTCGATTGGCGATAAAGGAACTGGATACTATAAAGACTTGCTGATACAGCATGTGGGGAAGGAGACTGAGAAGACGTCCCCTCCCCATCCAGGCTGAAAGAGGAAAAGCAAGAGAAAGTTGTTGGAGGCTTTGTAAGGACAGAAAGATGAAAATAGATAGAATATAAAATTCAATAGAAAAGCTCCCTTTTGAACATGTTATTTAAGAAAGAAGGTTCTGTCATCTCCATGCAGGGTGGGCAGGATCTGGAAACAACTGTGGGCAGGAAGCCCACTTGCGGCGTGAATTTTATAATCTTCTGTTGGTAATGTAGAACCAGACCACGGAGGTTTAAAGAGAGTGGGCTAAGAGTCCCTCACCCCGCAGACAGCCTTGTGTTGTAGATATTTAAAGCCGCAAGATCAGAAGCAGTTCCTGTACTGAGTACTATTTACCGATTTGAGCAGCTCCACTATACAGGCATCATGCACATAAATTTAACTAGTATTATTGTGTTGCCCTTTTCCAAGAAAGGGTAAAGTAGATTTGTAGGAGCACAAAACACATGTGAATCCCACCTCCTTAAGCTGAAGTGCACTGTGTTAAAGAGTTACATAAATTTTGTGATCACAGCACAGTTCTTTCTTGTAACAAATGAAAGCGATGCCTCCTTGTAAACCCGTTCCATGGACCCTGAGAGAAAATGTCTCACAAAAGACACGGCTTTGTGAAGCGTGTTGTTGCTCTGAGGTGGTCACTATGCGTGGGGGCTCCAGGCTTGGGTCTTGTGAAGGCTCTGCCAGCATCTGGCTCACTCTTTCATTGGCCACCACAGCCTTCTTTGAACATCATTTGTTCATTTGCTGTGCTTACCCATCTTCTCCATCTTGCCTTTGAAAAAAGGATTTCAAGCGTGACTTCTTTCAAACTGTTGTTAGGGGCTGTTAGCAGGCTCCAACTCATAGCAACCTTATGACAACAGAACAAAGTGGGGGTCTGCCCTCTGCCAGCCGCACAGGTGTTATGCTAGAGCCTGTTGTTGCAGCCAGTTGTGTCAATCCATCTCCTTGAGTGTCTTCCCTTGTTGTTCTGACCCTCTGCCAAGAATGATGTTCTTCTACAGAGGAGGATCTCTTCTAATGCCAAGTCTGAAGTATGGGAGACATAGTCTCTCTGTGCTTGCTTCTAAGGAGCATTTGGGCTGTACTTCTTCCAAGACAGATTTGTCCATTCTCCTGGCAGTGGGTGGGATAGTCGGCATTCTGGAGCAAAGGCATCATTCAAATGCATGACTTATTCTCAGCTTGTCCACTTTGCCCAGGCACATGAGGCATTTGAAAATACCATGGCTTGAGTCACACGGACCTTAGTTCTCAAGGGGACAGCTTTGCTTTTTAACACCCTGACTTGGATCAGTGTTTTGCGGCAGGATTGGTTAAGGCAGTATGTCGTCTTATTGACTGTACAAAGACATTTGACTGGATAGATCCTAACAGACAATAGGAAACATTGCTAACAGTGGGAATTCCAGAACAAATTATGCTTTTGCAGAACCTGTCCATAGACCAGGAGTCAGTTGTTTGAATGGATCGAGGTTGCAAATCAGGAAGAGTGGCCATCGGGATTAGATCCTTTCACTATGTTTATTCCATCTATATGCTGAGCAGATCATCCAAGAAACTGAACTACAAAGAATGTGACATTGGGATTGGGGGCAGACTCAGCAGCAGCCAAGGGTGTGTAACTGACGCGACTCTGGTGGCTACAAGCGAAGAGAACTTGGAGCGCTTGTTGATTGTGATCCAAGACTACAATTTTCAATCGGGATTAAGCATTAACATGAAGGAAACATTTTTTTTAAACCACTAGACCAATAAGCAACCTCATGATAAAGGAAGACAAGGTTGAAGTTGCAAGAATTTCATTTTACATGGATTCACTGTGGACACTCATGGAAACTGCAGTTCAAAGAGTTCAAACAGCTAGTAATCCATAAAACAGCTTACACCCAAAAAACTAAAAGCTACTCCCATCAAGTTGAGTTGGCTCACAGAGACCTTGCATCGGACTGCAGTGATGGCCTATTCTGAGGGAAGCAGACAACCTCTTCGTTCGCTCCTGGAGCTGCTCGTGGAGGTGAGCCTCCAACATTTCGGTCAGCAGCCAAACATCTATTTCAGTGACCGTAAGACTGCTTAAAAAACAACGGAATGCTAGCAAAAGAATGCTGGAATTGATAGTGGTGAAATCTCAAATGACCTGTTTTTCCACAACAATAGCCTGTAACCCAGGCAGAAGTCGCCTGATTAGGGTGCATCTTCTCGCCAGCGTGTTTTCCCTACTCCGTTTCAAAGGAAGCCCGGGTTATATTGCACAGGAGGGAGGTCCATGCCAAACACTTTTTACACGTTTTGTGGTTGCCAAGCTTGTATTATTTTAAAGTGTATTTTGTTCATGAGGCTAAGGACAATGATTTTGACCAAGTACGCTGGAAAATCATAGGATGAACTGGTAAGTCCTCCTGGCAAGGAGACAAAAGAGATTTTATAATCTTATCTAATCAGCCTAAGTATTATTTTTATTGGAAAATAGGCTTTGGTTTGGCAAATTCAAGTTTAGAATTATACTGCTTCTAACCTCAATGACTTCAACTTGTGCTGTGAGAGATCGATGGCCCCCAAGAGGCTAGATAATAGGAGATCGTGAACTCTGAAATAAACTCCCTCAATGATCTTCCAGAGTAAAATTGTTGCTGAGTGAACAGTTTGCCATCACGTGGCTCTGTCAAGGTTAATTATTATTATTATCATTATTATTATTATCTGATCTTGAGTATTAGACATTTTCATAGTTTCTAATGTTATAAACAATTTTGTAATGAACATCTTTATAGGTAAAATAATGTCTTTTTAACTCTGCCCCCTGCCTCTAGTCTTTCCCTGCTTCAGTCATCCCAGATTTAGGCAGATTAATGTTCTTGAAACAATTTTAGTGACAATTTATCAAATATTCTGGCCGAGCTGAGAGCCTCCACAATCTAGTTTTAATCTCTTTCTCCTCTGGCTGGCCCAGTGACCAGCTACTTGAAATTTGTGCTACAGTGATGAGTTGTTGTTCATGGTCGGCTCCAACCTACTCCTGCTTTGTGGGAGAGGGATTGGAGGGAGAGTTCATCAGAGCACTTGCTGGAGAATTGGGGGACTAGAACCAGCAAAGAAATTGTTCTCTCTCTAGGCGGCCAAGGTGGTAATGCTTGAAAGCTTAGCCAGCCATCTTTCCTGCCATCTGGACCACTTAAGAGAGAGATGCTTGTCCATAGAGGGAGAATGAACAGAGGCCGGAAGAAGCAGAGAGAGAAACTGGTGAGTATCTTAACAGAGATGAGAAAAAAAGAGGGATCAAAATATCCATTTTCTGGAGCTGTGTTTGACCACAGAGGCATTCTACAGATAAGAGAGGAGGCCTGGGGTGAGGGGGTGTGGGGGGGGGGTCCATTAGATAATTAGTTGTGTATCTTTTCTCACTGTTGCCCAAGGATGGCAAGCTCATAGCACTGGATTAAGGAGTGGACCAGCCAAGAAGGTACACAGGCCACCAATGTACAAGTCCATTAAGGATAGTTGACCAACATCAGAGCATCCTCAGGTGTTTTCCTGGAGAGTGAGCAGCAGTACAAAGGCAAGGAGGTAGACCAAACGATGTTTCCCAAACTTCACAGGGAGTCTCTGACACGTGAAGACTAGCTTATTAAGTAGTAACAGACACCTTCTTGACTCACACGCATAAGAAACGCACAAGCTCAACACAGTCGGGACTTTTGTTGTGTTCAAGGAGGAATGGAGTTCAGAGCACGGGTGGAGTTGTGTGGGAATGCCAATCTGGAGGCCTGCTCCCACAAAGCTGGTCCTCTGCCCATTCTTCCAGACAACGTCTTACCCCTCCTTCTTTCCCAAACAAATTTAGAGAACAACAGCTGGAAGCGGGCACAATTACAAGCTTGCCTGGAGCCCTCCGGGTTTAACCTTGTGAGGGCAACCGCCTCTCTGCAGTGGTTCTCAACCCTCCCCATGCCACGACCCTTTCATACAGGTGACCCCCCCCATAACATTATTTTCGTTGCTACTTCATCACCGTCATTTTGCTACTGTTATGAATCGGGTGAATCCTGTGAAACAGTGGCTCGACCCCCAAAGGGGGTCGCGACCCACAGGTTGAGAACGGCAGTGCTAGGGGATCTTTATATTTTTAAATATGGAACGCTTCATGAATTTGCATGTCCTCCTTGCGCAGGGACCAGACAAGTCTTCTCCGTAGCGTTCCAATTTTAGTTTATGTGCTGCCGAAGTGAGCACAAGGGATTCTTCTTTTCCGTGAATATTTCCATAGGTTCTTCCCTAGTTTATGCTGTTCTTCGAGGACCACTGGAAGGTCGGTCTAGTTCAGCTCACACTATTGCCCCCTGAGCCTCCCTATCCTAACCTTGAACCTCCTGCAAAGGATGAATTAGAACTAGGGATTCCACAGAGTGGGGTCCCAGCCGTGACCCTGCTGACACTAGTTGATTCGGTGGTGGCATGCTCCCAGTTGGCAGACGAAAGTAGGTCTATCCCCCAGGCATTGTAATAATCAAGGTGATCCATGCCCACCTCATGTCCCACTTCCTCCCGATGACCCAGCCCGGAAAGGTAAGCTAGAAGTCTACATTGTCCCATTGAGGTGATGCTCTTCATAAATCAGCTTCTAAATGACCATTTGAGCTTTGACCAGAATCTGGTTGTAACAAACGTGGATAACAGAAAAGAAAGAAATTCACTAACCCTCATCCCTAATGGTCGTGGAGAGGAGCCCAATTGAACGACAGGCAGGCCTCCTAGCTCGAGGACCTGACAGCACGGCCAACTTCTCGGCATGTTCACGAAGGAAGGGAAGAGAAGAAAATGCATTTGGCAGTCCTAATTAGATAATTGCTGCAAAAAAGAAATAGGTATGTCAAATACATTTCCCAGGTTTTTTCCATCTGTTTAAGCTTAAGTCGAAGCGTGTCACTCCTGAACCCACCAGGCTACGTGATGAATATGCTTTTGAAATGAATGCTTTCAGATGGGTTCTTTTCATGAAACAAGCACAAAGATGGGTACTGTGGTGAGCGAGTCTGCTTTGTCAGACATCTGGCTGCAACATGTGCCTCATTAAGTTACACCTGTAAGCGTGGGGTCATTTTTTATGCCAGTAATATTAATAATAAAGGGTTCATTGAATAGGATTATTAATGGTGCCAGGTGGAGGATATGGTATTACTTACAGCCTAGTAGGGGATTGGTTAATGTCCTCTCCCGCCAACGTTTCTGGTTTCACGTTTATAGACAGAGCTCAGCAGATGATGGCTGGCAGAGAAGCCATTGAGAAAATGAATCCCTCCTCTTTTCCATCAACAAGAAAGAAAACAAAAAAATATATAACAGTTGACGGGGAATCTGACTGAGCATTTTCCCTAATTTTGACTGGCAAACAAGCAACTGACCAATTAATTCCAGGGATTCAAAAGCCAGCCTCAACACTGCCTTCCCCAACTTGACTTTCAATGGATTCTTTTCCATTCTAGCCATCTCCTATCACTTCTTATTTCAAGAGGCATTCATCTCTGTATGTTTCTCTTTGTGGTCCCAAACTGAAAATCCAGGGGAGTGGGGAGTGGGAGGAATGAAGAAGAAATCCAAACCCTTTCCTTCCTTCTGTGGATCATTTGCGTTTGCTGGTTTACAATGCAAGTCTTGTAGCAGAAGGGACTAGATGCTCCAGGTAAGGTACTTCTTACTGTGCATTATTACAGGTGTCAGAAGTCTGGTGAATTCAAAGTATTATTTGATTTGGCAACAGATCCAAGGACTTAGAACACCAACCCATGTTTCAGCTTCAGATTACATGCAACTAGAATAAGACTTAAAATTTAACAAGGCGATTGTTGAGTGTTAATTGAATTGCATTTGAGCCATAAAGCCCAATGGATTGCTAAATTCAAGAGTTTTAAATGGGCTAATAGAAAAATTGTCTTTTACATGTCTTTAGCCACTCACGAATACACCCATACATCAATCTGTACACAAACAATAAACTAATTGAAGATCTTTGAAAATATATTTAGTGCAGCACTTGCCAGCTTAGAGGGGTTCTTTCACATACATTTGATCAGGAGCTCTCGGTAAGGAGGTGCTTCTGGCTCTTCATCTCCCAGGGAACAATGCTGAAGTTTGGAGAATGCTATCCTCAAGTTCACAGCTAGCAAGTGGTTTCCCTTCGAACCTGAAACCCATCCCCATTGCATCTAAACTTTTATGTTTTTTCCACTCCACCATCTGTTGCTCCATTCCCAGCCAATTAAATTTGTTCAATAAAATTAGAAAATCCAAGAATCCCTTCCACGGCTACCTCATTTTAGTACGAAGGTATTTGCGTAGCCTGGGTGAATTGTTTGAGTCAGTGATAAGGAGAAAAGATAGTCACAAAGGGTACATGCTAGAGGGCTTCGAGACGTTTGTAGAAAAAGAAAGGGAAAGATCAGGGTGTTTTTCCATGAACTTTTGGAAGTCTCTTCATATTTTGTGATTTCTTTTCTATGATGTTCAAGTCAGACCAATAATTTAAGTCGATAGAAACCACAACAGTGGTTTCCTTTGGGCAGAGGATCATGACTGGGAGGGAATAATAAGGAGTCTTGTGGCGGATAGACATTCCCTTTACCTTGATCTAAGTGTTAGGGAGACAGATATAGTTTTTTAAAATCATCGAACTGAACACTCCAGGCTAGTGCAACTTACTGTACTGAGCTGTTTCAATAAAAAAGAATTTTCAAACAGAAAATTAATTTTGTAAATACTTAGTAAATATTGCCAGCAAATATTTACTAAATGTCATTGAAATACGGCTTCTCATTTTCCTCATTAGGAAAAAATAACTGCAGCCCGAATCCAGATAGCCAGGCTTTTGCGTGCCCTTACTCTCTGTCTTGGCTCTATGACTGCCTCTCCTTCAGAAGACCCAAAACCTAACCCACTGCCATCAAGTTGACGCTTCCAGCCAGAGTAGAACTGCTCCCGCGGGTTTCAGAGGCAATACGTCTTTATGGAGACAGACTTCCCAACTTTCTCCCATGGAGTAGCTGGCGAGTTTGAATCCCTGACCTTTCCGTTAGCAGCCCAATGTTTAGCAACCACTAAGCTCCCAGGAATTCTTCTCTTAGAATTTTTCTGCCCATGTATTCCTAGCATCTAACACGGGTACTAGTATGAAATATTGAGTAAATGTTTGTTGGGGGTGGGGGGAGGATGAATAAGTAAGTGAATGAGCCAAATGCCTTTCTACATTTTTGTTTTTAACTCAGGTCTAACCTGTGGGTTTTGATAGGGTGGCCTATCATACCATGGAATCACTTTCTACAAGTCTTGGGTCACCCCCTTTAAAAGACTGCTGTCCCCAGAAGCATCACCACCACCAAGTCTAAATCTACCATATCACCTCCATGACCTGTCTCCATTGGGTCTGATTGTCTCCTTTCTAAGTGTTCCTGTAGTGGAGCTTCCTACCTGCTATGCCAAAGAGGAGCTTCCACCTCTAATCCTTTCTGCATTCCTGACTAGATCCTGGCCACTTGACTAATTCTTCTCCAAATTCCTTCACCATGAGAATTGTAATCACACCACATTCAAAACGAAGCAGTCTTTACTTCTCAGCCTTTCTTAATCATCTGTGTTCAAGTTCAGGATGAGCAAGGGCTACCATTTATCACTTGTAAATAATGCCCTCCCAGACTAGCAGACTTGAAGTTGCTGTTGTCATTTGTGATTGTTGTCAGCATATGGCTAACCTTGTCATGAGTACTGGCCTTTAGCAGAACTGTGAAGAAAGAGACTCAGTGAGCCTGCTCAATTCCAGGGGAGTCCTTGACTTTAGGGGAACGCCCTGACTGGGACTATTTTCCTCTCCTCCTAGCCTCCTGAGTTCACTCGTTTTGTGTTATCATCTGTAAAACCTGCTCTCAGGTTGGAGTGGAAAGTCTCTAGATGATCATATTTCCTTCCAAAGTTTAATGTGAAAGGTCTAGGCTCTTTTGGAACAGCTAAACCAAATGAGTAGCCATAGCCACCCGACTAGCAAATGCATGGAACATGAGAATGAGTCAAGACCGCACCTCTTATGATGCTTGTTGTTTGTTTGGTTCACATGCCGTCACTTGGAATATAGAGACATCCTGCATTTTAATAAAATGTGTAATCTTCATTCTCTAGCAAGAATACCAGGTGGTCAGATGCAAGGTGTACAAAACATACCTTGCAAGTTTGTATAAGGAATGAGATTTGAGGACTGAGGGACAAACGAACTGCTTTACTTTCCACCCCTCACAATCCTTAACTCATCTAGACACCTGTAAGAGGTGAACAAGTAAAATGGGAAGGTTGTACTCCAAATGTAAATGCCACACTATTTGTTGACGTTAGTTCCTGAATCTCTCTTAGACCAAAGAGCATATTGCATTTGCTCCCATTCCATCATCATCAAAGTCCTTAGTGGCTTTCCTAGGCACCTAGGTTATTGGCATCTTTTGTTGACTAAGGTCACTTGGTTAGTGCAATGGCTAAGTGCCACATTCAGAGTTAGAGGACACCTTTGCCCTGGGAAAAGGTAGGGCTCCTATGTCCAATTCCCTCATTGTGGAATTAGAATAGTAATAGTAAACCAGTTGCTTTTAAGTCAATTTCCACTCATGGCCATCTCATCTATGTCAGATGAGAAGCAGGTTCAGTAGGGTTTCCAATGGCAGATTTTTCAAAAGGAGTTCACCAGATCTTTCTTCTACGATGCCTCTGGGTGGACTTGGGATTTTGATCTTTTGATTTCCAGCCGTTTGTGCCACCCGGGAGCTCTAGGATAGTAGTGGAGGCCATCACAAACTGTTTTCAGACTAACTGCCATATTGCATGAGAAAAAGATGGAAAAATGGTATCCATGTGAGGTTTACTTAATGGTGGTTATACTGCCTCTTGCTGACGGTGCACTGAGAATTTTCTCTTCGCTAGTCAGGCCCATCTAAGAAGAAGTCCAAACCAGCAAGTAAGATTACTTGCGTGTGAATTGAATGTGTGTGTTGGGGTGAGAGCATGCATAGAAAATGGAATTCACAAATGTTTTGAGAATGGTGATGACAACAAATGTACAAATGTGGTTGATACAATGGATGGATGGATGGATTGTGATAAGAGTTGTACGAGCCCCCAAGAAAATGATTTTTTTTTAAAGTTACAGTCCCAAGGGCTCAAATAGAAAGTAAATGTTTTAAAAATAATGATGGCAACATATA